CCATATCTGGCCATGAGCCCATGTCTTTACCGGCAGAGCCGTCACTTCGACGAAGTGCTATCGTACATCTTACTGTTTATCACACCCGTCAGGGAGAGCCAGAAAGTAGTCTACATGCCACCAGCAGCCTGACATTTGTGTTTACAAGAGAGCTGTCAATGTGATTTTGTGACGTCCAGAACGATGAAATTCAAACAATGCGTGAGGTGGACAGGCGCCAGACGTGTCTCCAAATATGCATGCCTCCACTGCCTCCACCGCATAGGCAGTAGCGCCGCTTCTGTTCATTTCAGTGCCTTGTCTATATGTTTTTCACACCCAAATCGCTTCCTTTCCATCAGTTTCAGCGATACCGTGCTCTGACGACACATTGACCCAGGTCTGCCTATGATTCAGAAGTACTCGACGGCATTACCCCTCGTTGTCAGGCAGGATCCACAACTCTTCATACACTTGTTTATTCGTGGTGCTCCAACGAACGACATCCAATCTCGGCGCTAATCTCTGCTCGTAGGCGAGCCAATCAGCTCTGATCCGATTATATAAATTGCTTTATTTCCTCTCGCCACCGGGGAAGTGTACTGCAGGGTGTCTGCTCTGACATCGGATGTGTTTTTCTTTTCTTCGCTAAGTTGGCATGATTTTAGATATCATTTTAAGGATGCAAATATGGTGTGTGCTCATTGTTTGATGTTCATTCATGTCATGAGTTTTTTTTAAGAAACATGGTATTTAGTGCCATACAAACGCTCAAAATAAGCTTTTTTGTTTTATCTTGTTCGAGCATTGGCCTGCTGTCTTCTTATTGCTACCTTGCCACCGGGCAGCATTCGCAAATAAAATGGCATGTTGTGTACTAATGACTACCAATAGGAAATGAGCTCATTGATACTCGTATGTATTGCACTGATTGGAAAGCTAATCTGCAATTTAATATTCTATTACATATGATCAAGTATGCCGGCTAAACCTCGAGCATTTTGTCCCCTAACATCGAAACAAATCACTTTCAGCTCACATGGCTACAGGGCGCCCACAAAGGACCATCCCTTCCACCTGGCCGTCAGCGTCCACGCCGCTGTCGCCGAGTGTTATCGATGATGGTGTTTTGATCAGAGACCCAAAGCCGATCGGATGTCAAGGTAACGTGGTATGCCACGGTACGGCGGACTATGTGAACTGCAGGAACCGCGCTGTTCTGATACGGCCGAATGGCGCAGTCACGCCAGAGAACAACAAATTCCTGAAATATTTTTGAGATTGACAGGGAGATAGCAGGGAATTTGTCTAGACAAAATTTGTCTTTTTTAATAGGCGTAAGTCGCTTTCCATCTTTAGGAAAGCATGCCATGTACTTGTTGATCTGGAAACGGCAGTCGAACCTACGAGACAATCCAACTTCTGGCCAGAGATAAAGTAAGAAGCCTTTAACCCGCGCCCTGCTGGGGGTCCTGGATTTCCACGCCCTGCTGGGGGGGGGTGTTTGAACACCCCCCCTTGTAACTCGGCTCCTGGGCAACGTAGCGATACGCGGAAGGCGGCGTTCGAAAGAGCGTAAAAAATAATGACGAAATCACTTCGGTCAATTTTTTGGTCAGGTCAAAGGTCAGGTCACCAGAGGTCATTGAAGGCAAAATTTCGCCGATTTCCAGGTCGAATGTCGAAAATTTCCAAGAAGCCAACGCATAACTCGGGAACCAATAGAGCTACAGCGCCGCGGAAAAGCGCATTCGATAGCCCTATTAACACCCTTTCTAAGTAATTCTCTCAGATTTGACCTAACGTCAACGGTTTTGCCTGCAGGGGGCAAAAACTGCAAAAATAGACGATTTTTTCGGAAACAGTTTTTCTGCAATAACTTTTGACCCAAGCCTTGTACGAGATTACTTTCACCGGCATCGTGTTCCTCTCGTCAAGACGCATCGAATGAACTATAACTTGACCTTGAAAGGTCAACTTGAAAATTTGACCTCAGGTCAAGGTCATGACCTGACCGGAAAGGGTCATGTTGCATATCAGTCGATCCGTATCGTCGAGCTGAACACATATAAGGCATTTTCATCGCTCTAGCATGCCTCTATCAAAAGTTATTTGCGAAAAACTGTTAGACACCATTCGTGACCTAAGATGACCTCAGGGCATAAACAAGGGTCACGGACACCATTTTCATGTTCAGTGTGTCTAAACCACTTGTAATTCGGTGTTTGGGAGTGTTTATAATGTCTTTCGTCCAAAAGAGGCGCATTTCAATTTTCTCCCATTGACTATATAATGGGGAGGTCGCAAAATTGACCTAACCTCAGGTCATCGATATCAAAATTCTGAGATATACATTTTGTACATGCTATTGCTCTTAGCAATCGCTGAAAGTTTCAAAGCAATCGGTCACTCGGTGTAGCTATGACAGACATTGAAACTTTTTATGAGGTGAGGTCACTTCAAGTGACCTGGTGACCTTACCTTGAATGACCTTGGTCTGAAATTTTCACAACATGTGTAGAATTGATGTATGATAAGGTGTACCAAAAACGGCGGCGCTCCGCGCCGCCGTTTTTGAGATATTCCCGAAAAACCACAGGGGGGGGGGTGTTCAAACACCCCCCCCCCCCAGCAGGGCGCGGGTTAAGATACGAGGTCACGAGGACGGCAGATGCAACTCCTTCAGTTCGTCAATCGACCGCTGGCTAGCTAACTCATCATGTTCAAGCCTTGGCACATAGTTACTTGCGGGAGGATTTAACAGCTCCTTAGCGCACGACCTCCACTCGCAGAAGAGAGTCGAGCAGCCTCGACCACACTGTGGGCGGGAGCCGCCTCGGCTTGGAAGGAGCGTGGGAAACCCTCGATGGCGAAGAAGAGAGGGCGTGTCAGTTCCATCCGAAGAATGTCATGAGAGGGGCAAAGCTGATGGCCTCTTCAGGCAGTCGCGTGAGAGGCAGGAAGGCCTGGAGCGGGACAACATATGAAGCATGTCGTATTTTGAAGAATGATGTGACTGCCAGTGCCTATTGCCTTCGCCAAGTGCCTACCGACCGCCAGTTAGACAGTGCCTGCTGGTGTCGCAGGAGTCAGTCGCTGAGTTGCTGAGTCATCACTGGAGGTGAGTCATTCCTGCTGAGTCTCGCCATCTCGGCTCCCTCCGCCTCTCTGTAAAACAGGGCTCACGGCGCTACCGGGGAGACCCGATCACGCGGTGGGGACCCGCTCCGTCCCCTCGCCCCGGCTAAGACAGTTCATTTCATCACGGTAATGCGTCGCCGCTGGGGTGGCGAATGGGCGTCGGTTGACAGGAAACGGTCCAAAGACAGATTGCCAGTGGCCCACAGTCTCCACATAAAAGGGTGCGAGTGAGAAGCTAATTTCAAAGAGATTAAATCCTGTAATATGATGTCGTACCGCCAAGGATAGTATCCAGTTCCACATCAACGTTCTATGTATGCCAGTGGTGGTATGTTTTTTTTTATTATGAGCATATTTTTAATTGACCAAATCCTCAATGTAATCTGAATAAAATGACAAATAGCAAAAATTCGGGTATATTCGATCACAGATCTTTGTCAACCGATACCAGCAGGCGCCACAATTGTAGATGTCAAAATACTTTTTGTTCAGTACACATGCACAACAGTAGATATGTCCTCAGGGAAAAGATTTATGGTTGGTAATTCTAAAAGTCGCAGCAGTCAAACATAATATGTACAGGGAAAAACCTATACACAAGATTAAAGTGCGTGTGTGCCTAAGCATATACGAATTTAAGATGAAACAATACTTGCGGATCAATTAAATGGGCAGCAAGTTACACTCTTACCCTGGACAAAGTTAGGGCACATATAACATTTACACTGTGCGAAACAATTAAATGAGCATATTATACATAAATGAACATTATATACGTAAATGAGCATACATGAGCGTATTATCATACTATGACTACTCATACCCTGGACAAAGTTAGGGCGCATACAGCATCTATGAAAACGATCTACACAATCACTTTTTAACGTGGTGAGCTCTTGAAAAATGCTACCCTACTTTGGAAGTAGCTGCCAGGAGGTGCTGTTATCGTTAATAGCTGGCATCCTATCGCGGATGGTGATGGATTCAGCAATCCTCCTGTCAGCTTCATCCTTACATTTGCGTACGATGCGTGCTATCAGAGTCGTGTCCGTTGGGGTCAGGTCTGGGTGCTCGTGCGCGAAATGTTCACCCATTGGTGTGCCTAGTTTCTTGTTGGTGCCATCTCGTAAGTGTTCGTTATATCGCAGTCGTATTGGCCTACCGCTTTCTCCTACGTAAGTTTTGTTGCACAGACTACATTTCAATTCGTACACTACGTTTTTCGTGTGACACTTTCCCCGCAGCCCAGCTTGACATGCGTGGCAGTGCTGTCTGCGACTTTTAGAATTACCAACCATAAATCTTTTCCCTGAGGACATATCTACTGTTGTGCATGTGTACTGAACAAAAAGTATTTTGACATCTACAATTGTGGCGCCTGCTGGTATCGGTTGACAAAGATCTGTGATCGAATATACCCGAATTTTTGCTATTTGTCATTTTATTCAGATTACATTGAGGATTTGGTCAATTAAAAATATGCTCAATCATCAATATGATTTTCCTCACTACGCTAAACTCTCTTAAATGTTTTTTTTTTGTATAATAGACATTACCAGTTACTATGCAATAGTGGCAACAAAATATGATAATTTATAGCTGAAGCCCAATTCAATCCAATGCTTTCCATCACTATTTAGCTGCAAAGTGCACTTGTATTACATAGGTAAGCGTTACAATGTGCAAATGCTCCTACCTACTTACGATGCTTATGTAATGCTAAATAATCAACAACAATAGAAGACACTTTAAAACCCCAACTTAGCGATGGAATGGGCGGGGCGGCACCAAATAAGACCTCAAAACATCAAAAACATCGGTCACACACAACAGCAGTTCGGTTGAATGAATCCGAACATAAAACGCTGAGAACAAACCAATAGCGTTTCTGGCTGTATTTGCATATCGTGCCCAAACTAAAAATGCCACAAAGGTTTCATCGTGTGCTGCACTTACGTAGTTTCTTCTTCTGAAACACCCATGGCTTCTCTTCTTCCTTCTGCCGTGGTGTTACATGAAGTTGGTGCAAACTGCAATTACTCCCATGCCGACCAACGTTTCAGAGCTGGCTGGCACAACGGGAGGGTGAATTAGCCTCTCCTGGGACAGCTATCCTGCACGGGACATTGGTCCGGCACGCAGAGGCACTCGCCATTTTTCCGGCAGCAGTATGGCTCTGCCGTCGGGCAGGGGATAATCGGGTGACACCACTGGTAGTGGGACGTACCTGAAGTCACACAAAATGTCACAGAGTCACACGATTATCTATCACCTAATTCACGGCACACGGTCCGTGGATAATATCTAGGCAAGTAGCTGCCACGTCTGATGCTTTAGAGCAGGTCATGTGGCGTCTGTATTTTTTTTTTGCACAGGAAACCATTATCAAAGTCTCTCTTTCTAAAGACACTCACCATCTACCGAAGCTGTGGCGAAGATCACAAAGAGAAAACAAAGGCCAACTATAAGGCGAAGGAAGCTCATGTTCACAGATCGGGCCACCACAAACGAATAACGCCGGTTGCCTTGCTGACTGCTGTGACAACTGACAATGACGCACCAAGAGGTGGACGTGGCGGCCGGCGGGTGTGTCACATTTGTGACGCACGTGATAGGTGACTTGTCAGTGTCGGGCTGTCAGCCGTCACAAACTGTAGTATGAAGCGCAGTATGTAAGATCAAGGGGGACGACGTTTCTGCACGTTTTCAGCATGACGCAATACTGTCTTGCTCTCTCTGTTAGTGCCGGGTTCTCTTGATCGGTTGGGTCTTATATTATATTTTTGACGCATACTATTATTAACTTCATTTCAAGCAAATGTTTCACTTATAAGTAACTGTTAACATGTCACCAAGTAAAGTTTACCTTCTCTTTCTGCATGCAATTGCATCGGGTCAGAAATGTCACGCCTATAGAAATCCTATTTGGTGTGGACTCGCGATCTGGAGAGATCCGTGAGCTTTGTGAGTGCGAGAAGGTAGCTCTCCCTCAGACTCCGCTGTTCGGGACCAGTTTCGAGATATACATGGCCTCACAGTGCACACCTGCCCAAGATTGCGACCGTGCTCAAGCTGGAGCTGGTCCGTGGATTACTGTTCAGCGCAACTGTAGAAAATAAAACCAAGGTATGCCCCTCTGGTAACCTAGCAGCCCACTCAACCTCAGGCTCCTGCCCAGGCGCCGGTGGGTTCTGGTCCTGCAGGAATGGGCTTATACTGGAGGCCAATCTATATATCTATATATGAGGCTCATATTGTGCCTGCTTAGAATTGGGTTGCATGCTGGCTCCCATACTGGGCCTGGAGTAAGTGTAAGGTCCTCCGTCCTACCACCTTCTGATGCACAGAAAGCCTCTGCGGATATACACATACTTGCTGTATCTGCAGATATAAAGAGCGTGAAAATAACTGTCCCCTTCAATTATGCGCTGGACGGAATCAAATAATGTTATGCAAATTAGCCACATTCAACAGCGGTGCAATGAATTGCACTGCAAACACGAAACATTGAAAAGAACAACACCAATGTATGATGTATTTGTTTGTCGTACCCAAACTTTAAATGACAAAGGGTCAATCATATGCTGCACTGATGTAGTTGCTTTTCTGGAACACCACCCATTCTTCTCATCCTCTTGCTGCCGTGCTCTGACGTGTAGTTGATGCAAATACGTGTATATTCCGAACATATTGGAGCTGGCTGGCACGCTGGCGGGGCGGATTAACCACTCCCTCTCCTGCTACATATCTGCGCAACAGGACATGGGTCGGGCCCACAGAGGCACTCGCCATTTTGCCAGCAGCAGTATTGTTGTCCTGGGGGACAGGGGATGATTGGGTGACATCATTGGTAGTGGGGCGTACCTGAGGTCACACAAAATGTCACAGAGTCGCCTGCCTGGTCAACTAGCTCGCAGTACCTATAAGGTGCGCGGGTAATTTTTATGCGATTGGCAAACACATCCTGATGTTTCAAAACACGACCTTTTGAGTTGGCAAGTGCTTTAACGTCTACATATACCGGGTGTCCCAAAAGTAAGGTCATCATTTGTTTTGGCCACACTGCCAAAAATACGCGATGGATAGATATAAATAGGACATCATATGAAAGAGCATTTTATAAAATTTTATTCTGACATACATATGAGTCAATACATTGGCTCGTAGCCCCACATTTGCTGCTTTTCTACATGGCTACCATTTCGGGCCGCGTGCATGAATAGACTACGTTTGACTTCCTCCACTATTCTGGAGCGATTCTCTGGTGAGATGCCGCCTATGTTTGCTCGGAGGGATCATCCTTTAGTTCTTCCCGGCTCGTTGGGTTGTCCTAAAAGACAATCTTTCTGTTGTGTATCCAGAGAATAAAAATATGAAGGTGTAACGTCAGGTGACCGCGGAGGCCATTCAATGGCGTTGCCCTGACTGAAAATTACGGGATCTCACATCCACTCTCGGAGACAATGCATGATCTTCAGGACGGTGCAAGCATAGTCTCCATCCTGCTGAAACCACTGCTGGCTGATGGTGTCGGCACAGCTGCGTTGCGACGAGCGGAAGAACCACTGGGAGGACTCTCGGCCACCTCTCTTGATTTATTGTCACCCGATTCCCGCTGTCGTCCTCAGGACCTCGAAGCACAGGTGGCTAAGTATACATGCCCTGTGCGTACATTATACCTTTTTTCTGACGTTTTACCGGTTGAGGCGAAACTATGCATGAGTTCAGAGATAGGGCGAGCTGATAGGGTCTGCTTAGGGCCGAAAACTGGGCGGTATTTACCCTTTGTTTTAATGACGGACCCTCTCTAAGAGTTGAATTTCGACCTTCTCAGTTTTATGCCTACTGTTCGGTGTAGTTATGATCAAAAATGGTTTAACCCGCGCCGTGCTGGTGGCCTGAACTTTCCGCCGAGTGCTGGGGGGGGGGGCGTTTTCACGCCCCCCCGTCTAACTCGGCTCCTGGGCCACGTAGCGACACGCGGTAAGCGGCAATCGAAAGAGCGTCAAAAATAAGGACGAAAACACTTCGGTCATTTTTTGGGTCAGGTCAAAGGTCAGGTCACCAGAGGTCACCAAAGGTAAAATGTTGACTATTTCAACATTTTGGAAACTGCCAACGGCTATCTCGGGAACCGATAGAGCTACAGCGCCGCGGAAAAGCGCATTCGATAGCCCTTTAACAGACCTTTCTGAGTAATGTTCTCAGATTTGACCTCAGGTGAACGGTTTAGCCTCCAGAGGGCAAAAACTCCAAAAATAGCCGTTTTTACGAAAAACGTTTTTTCGTCAATAACTTTTGACTCATAAGCGCCATGACATTACTTTTGCCAGGATCGTGTTCCTCTCGTCGAGACGCGTCGAATGAACTATTCGTTGACCTTGAAAGGTCATTTTGAAAATTTGACCTCAGGTCAAGGTCATGACCTGACCGAAAAGGGTCATGTTGCATATCAGTCGATCCGTATCGTCGAGCTGAACACATCTGACGTGTTTTCACCGCTCTAGCACGTCTCTATCAAAAGTTATAGCCAAAAAAACTGCTGGCGACCGTTCATGACCTGAGATGACCTCAGGGGCACACAGAGGGGTCACAGGTGCATTTTTCCTATTCAGTGTGTCATGTTTACCTATGAACCGATGTTTGAGAGCGTTTTGAACGATATTCGTCCAAAAGAGGCGCATTTCAATTTTCTCCCATTGACTTATAATGGAGAGGTCGCAAAATTCACCTGACCTTAGGTCACAGATATCAAAAATCCGAGATATACATTTTATACATACTGTTACTCATATCAATCGCTGAAAGTTTCAAAGTGATCGTTCAGTCGGTGTAGCTATAGCGAGCCTTTGAACTTTTTCTGAGGTAAGGTCACTTGACGTGACCTGGTGACCTGACCTTGAACGGCCTAGGTCTGAAATTTTCACAACATGTGCGGAAATGATGTAGGAACACGTGTACCAAAAACGGCGGCGCTGCGCGCCGCCGTTTTTGAGATATTCGCGAAAAACCTGAGGGGGGGCGTAAAAACGCCCCCCCCAGCACGGCGCGGGTTAAGCATGCAAGAAAATAATTTTATGGATGTACCTTGCACGTGTTAAAATTGGAAGTGATTCGGACTCTTACTTCTCGAGATATTTAAGTTTTAAATCATGACCTTACTTTTGGGACACCCGGTATGTCTGAACAAAAAATTAGTAATCGCAGTTCTTCTCATACAAAACTCACCATTAACCAAAGCTGTGGCGAAGACCGCCAACAGAAAACAAATGACAACTATAAGGCGGAGGTAGAACATGTTCACTGATCGGGCCACTACAAACGAATAACGCCGTGTGCGGTGTGACGCGCCACATAGATATACGTGGCAGGAATGTCACATTTGTGACGCACGTATGTGACAGGTGACCTGTCAGCGCCTGGCTGTCAGCCGTCAGAGGCGGTGTGTGCATACGGAGCGGGTTCTGTACGGTCAAAGGTAACGAGATCTCTGACAGCACGATTTCAGCGCGACGTCACACCCCTCCGTCACTGCGGGTCTCTCTGGGATGGGCTGAGTCCTACACAGGGCGTTCTAGCATACTATTTACCATTTTCCCAAGTAAATGCGTCAGTTACTAAGCAGGTACTACCAATCATAGATAATTTCTCTTTGGAATGCACTTTTATCGGCAACTTTTTAACATTGTTAGATTGCTGCACGACGGGTCACCGCTATCGTTTCAGAGCATATTGCGCAAGGAAAGTAATGTACGAGTATGTATCAGAAGGGATATATTTATAGTGATAAACAATAATGCAATGTTGAAATTGGTGAAGGAAGTAAATGAAAGAGAATATTGAACATCAGCAACAATAAACGTCACTCCAATCGAGCACTGTGAAGCGCGAAACCAAAGCTGCTTCTTATACCGACAGCTTCCATTTAGCAACAAGACATCCATAGCCTTCCAGATGGCACGGTTAGAAGTAGTTTGAAGCTGGGATTTCGTCAACACAATAGAGCGAAAGGTTTGCGAGCTGGTAAAGTGGAAAGTCCGATAAGCCTACTGTCTCTCAGGAAGTTCAGAGAAGATGAACTTTTACGAAGAGTTCCTAGCACAAAACAATGTCAATCAAAAGTGATAGCATATTTTTCAGTAGAGAAGATGGGAGAAATGCGGGCATCTAGACAAAAATTGTGTAGGTATAACTAAAGGTCGAACGCATATTGCTTTGTGCTTTAACCCTCGCCCGTATAAGGGGGGGGGGGGGTCAAACGGACCCCCTCGGTTTTTCAAAAATAACTCGCGTAAAAAACGTCCGATCGCGACAAAACTTTCAGTACCCTCGCGTTAACAATCGCCGGCTGAGGGGGGGGGGGGGGGCGGGTGCCGCCCGCCATAGGATTTTTTTCGCGATAGCTCCGAACACGCTGGTGATAGAGAGCTGAAACTTGGCATATCTGACCTTTGATTCAAGCCGGATCTTTTGACACCAACCGCATTTTCGAGTCAGGTCAGGTCACTGACCTATGACGTCATAAGTGAACCTCTGCACGGTCTTCAGATGTCGCAACTTTGCAACGCCCTCACTGCCAGAGGAGCTGTCACAGGGAAAGGAAACTTGCAGGACCTATTATCCATTGGGAGTCTCACAACTTGTATATCTCGGATTTTTCCTAAAGGTCATATGAGGTCAGGTCATTTTCGCGACCTCACCATTATAAGTCAATGGGGAAAAATGAAAACTGCTATTCTGGCGCCGGGAACGATCTCCAACTATCTCAAGCACACATAATCATGATATCAGGCACTCCTTGCAAGGTTCCATGCGTCACTTTTGCAATGTGGACCTTGCGTGACGTCATTTATGACGTCATTAGGGTCATATTAGTTTTTCGTCAATAACTCCCGATCAAATTGAGCTAGCGAGTTGGGAATGCCACCAATGGACTCAAGAAGACCTGCCAAATCGAATGATATGCGATATGACCTCCTTCGACTAACTTCGTGACCTGGGGGCGCTGACCTGACCGTGACCCGAGGTCAACACCCTAAGTTGACCTAACCCAAACAAAAAGTATATCATTCGACGCGCCTGAGCAAGGCAAACACGATGCTGCCAAAATCGCGGCTCTGTGGCCGTTTTTTTTTGCGAAGTTATTCACCAAAAACTGAACCGTACCTTGGGGCACTTGACCTGACCTCAGAGGTCACCATTTGACCTAGGACCTTAAAATCGAGTATCAATCGCTGCGTCTTGAAACAGCGCACACGCTCGTTTTTTCCGCGACGCGCTAGCTCCACCAGGGGCGAAACGGCGAGGGGGGTCGTACCACCCGCCCCCCCCTCGGCCGGCACCTATGTAGAAAACCAATAGGTCCGGCGAAGGTTAATCAATTTTACACCTACCCTGAAAATTTCATGACCCTGACGCCAATGACCTTTGACCTGTGACCTACTTTTCGAGACCATGTTTGGCCGGAATCGCGATTCGACGTATGCTGGCTCGCATTAGCCGCACGTTTGCAGTCTTTTCGTGGTTTCAAGCGTTCAAACATGGGATATGATGTTGCTCCCATGCATTAGGGTGGGTGTCAAGGTCACCGGAAGGTGGGGTCAGGTCATTGATCTTTGATGACCTCTGTTCACTTTTTCGAGTTTTACATGTTTCTAGGCTAGTGTTTTTAAGCTGAATTCGAATTTAGCAACCATTTGAACATTTACGAAGTAGTTTTGGTGCCTTCTTAACCCTCGCCCGCACATGGGGGGGGGGTGGTTGCCACCCCCCCCCAGATAGTCTTTCTGCTCTGCACTCAACATTTTTAGAGCTAGAAGGCTGATTTTTCGTATAGCTGCTCCTCTATCCTTTCTTGAGGTCCACTAAAAATTTCAAGTTTCTGTGATTTTTGGTTTCGGAGATATGACCTTGTTTTTCAGGTCATGTCATGACCCAAATGGCCAATTCTCAACATCTTGCGCCTGCCATGGGCCTTGTGAGCTTTTGACACCCTGATTTCGGCGTTTTTTGCCAGTCTTACCTCCCACCTATCATGGAACATGTTGTTCGACGATGTACAGGGGTCAAGGTCAGGGTCAAGGTCAACCTACGTCATCTAAGATAATTGCGTTTTAGGCAAGCTGAATTTACTTTTTGTGAAGTTTTTTTGACTGCATTTTGGTAAAAGCTTCTCAGATCATGACTTCATGTAATATGGACCCAAAAACAATCGGTGCACACATCAGTATACACACAGACACACACACACATACAAACACATATAATTGACCTTGACCTAACTTGACCTAAAATGACCTCAGCAGCAAAATTCTGGTCGGGTAGTGTGACAAAGAGATTCTAGCTGGCTTGGCACCAGAAAACAGCATCGTCATCGGTATTTGATAAGCAGCGCACTTGATATCCAACGGTGACCCAAAACAGCAACATTTTTTAGTTTGACCTGACCTGGAAGGTCAATGACTGACCTGAGAAGGTAAAACTGGGTATCATTAGATTCGTCTTTTCCCAAAGAATCTTTTTGGTCTTTACCGCTAAGCTCTATCTCCAACAGGAACGAAATGGCGCGGGGGTGGCAACCCCCCCCCCCCCCATGTGCGTTCTAGGATGGGAAAATGGCATGTGCGGGCGAGGGTTAATATGTTATGAAGTTGTCAGAAGCGGGTGCCACCTACTACGAATACCCGGCAAAATCCTTACTGGTTGACCTGACCTGACCTCACCCGACCTGGCCTAAATGCATGAATACATCATCTATGATCATAACTGACATGATATTCGTGATCAGCACCCCTAAAACCCCGTAGCAGCCACGTTTTACGACGTTCTAACAGGTTCCAATTTTCCCCACTTTTGGGTCATTGGCCTGACCTGGAAGGTCAACCGATGACCTAGGACCTTAAAACTGAGTATCATCGGCTTTCTCTCGTCACGGGCAACACGCTCGTTTTTTCCGCGAAGCTCTAGCTCGATCAGGGGCGAAACGGCAAGGGGGGGGTCCAACGGACCCCCCCCCCCTTATACGTTCGTGGCTGGAAAACACCAATACGGGCGGGAGTTAATATTGTGTACTTTTTTGTTAAAATGGGAACCATATACTTTGAAAATATATTTAGATTTTTTTATAGCTTATTCGATGTATTAACTTACTGTATTTGCAAGGAATTGCAATAAAAAATAATGAAAATAGTTAAAAAAATATATGTAAATAGATTAATCTTGATGGAATGACGCGTCTAAGTTTCAAACTAAGACCTAATCTAAGTGATCATCAGTGCTGATCATTGATCAATATCCTGTTTTCCTTAGATTTGCGTTACAATAACCAAGATATTCTTATTTCCTTCACAGAATATTACGTCACATGAGACGAACTTCCGCGACTTCATCTCTGAGCGAAGCAGAACAGGTGTCTCCTGCTATTGTCCAAAGGTAAACGAGCTCAAGTATCAAATATCCTCACAGATATACGGGCACAGTTTACACTCACTCAGCGGCAGCAGCTCGTCTGACTTCCCACGGCCCATCAGCAGGCATTCGCTCTCTGTTCCGGCCTCCGGCGCGGTGACATGCTGGCCGTTACAGCACTGACATGTTGTCGTTTCAGCAGCCTGCAGTTTTTTCCGCGCTCCTATCTCGCCGAGTGGGCGAACTACCACGATCGCTGACCATAGCGGGTCAGACAACCTGTGTCCACGTGCCAAACATCTCTGTTGGCGCTCCTCCTGCACGGACATCCGAAACCTCGGGTCAAGGCTGGATGACGCCTGTGGTGGTATGCGGGGCACCGACACGTCGTGTCCGACGAACAGCCTCGTATTTCTACCACTGCGCCATGTCCAGCACTACCATGGGATGAGAGTGGGTGATAGCGAACACCACTGGTGTCAATTTGTTTGCATACTTTTGAGGTGGCCCTCGCCCCCCCCCCCCCCCCCCCAATGCTAAGTTCGGCCCCCTCAATATTGCTCTTGGCCCCCCTCCCAGTGTTTTCTCCTATTTGCGCACTTCAGCAATACCTATATCCATGCAACGTTACTGAGCGGAATGACCGAGTTTCATATCTGATTACGATATGCAGATTACAGATGTTACAGTATACTCAGCGAGCATCTAGGGGAAGGTGGGGTAAGACGGCCCAGCGGGGCAAGACGGACCATCAGCCCTCCCGGCTGAACCGCTGCTGGTATCTACTGCTTTATGCACTCACTATGTTTGTTTTCCTTCGTAACAATGGCCACCTTGAGCTCATGCTGCTAGGATGCATAGCTTTTGAGTTGTTGAGAAAAATGTTGTTTTTCGTCAAACCAATCTAATATAAGACGTCTACGGGTGATTCAATTACGGCGCCTTTCTTGCATGATTAGTTTCTATTTTGCACTTAACTGTGAAGAACAAAGTTATAAACTTAGTTATAGTCACACTTTAGGAAAGGCAAGGTTTTGCAATGTTGGGCTATTTGACATATACGTCATGATAATGACAGAATTTAGATTTGGGGCAAGACGGACCACTGTGGTCCATCTTACCCTGTGGTGGTCCATTGTACCCTGCATATGGTAAGTTCTTTTCCAAAACATAGACACAAGTTTAAGTAAGCTAATTTTTCAAGAAGGAGTCTTTGTTGCATGTGAGCCATGCATGCAAGTGTTCAGTTAGCATGCATTCATGCCAAACGACAATCAACACACATGTTCCCAGCTTTTAGGTGCACTTCCATCACACATGAGTAAAGAATAACGGCTCATTTTGTTATTTTACCATTCGGGTTACTTTTTCTTACAAGAGTACAGAGCAGAAGTGTAACACACATGACCGGATAGCAGGCACTGCTGGGTGGTCCGTCTTGTCCCACGTTTTTTTCTTGTCTGATTTTTGACATGTCCCTCTTTAAGAGCATCCACCACCTAGATGTCTTTAATTTGAAATTTAGTCTTTACACATACCAACAGAGGAAGGATTGAGCATTCCGAAGACTATAAATAATATGAATTACGAGAGCAGTGTAGCAAGATATGCGGCCTCAAACCTTAGCTGGTCCGTCTTACCCCACCTTCCCCTATTTAGTTGGCCTGTCCATAGGCTTTCTCTGCTGATGTCTATTTTATTTTATTTTATTTTATTTTATTTTATTTTAATTTTTTTGTACTTCAAAATAAAGTGGCCGAAATCCGAGGAGAAAAATAGGGGTATGTAGGCTGGTGAAATATGCCAGCCTCGCCCCCCCCAACCATTTTCATAAATTGACACCGCTGGCGAACACGATGGTCGTGTCTCCGCGTCGTCATGCCCACAGTCCTTCACACGACAGGTGCCAGATGGTTCTACCCTTTGCATTCAATTGTCACAGATTTAAGGCTTCTGGTCTTCTGGCCATTTCGAACACTGGACACATCGTGCCCTGGACATTATGAACCCTGGCCTCTTTGAATTTACCCTATCTGCAGCCAGTTGGCCACATTTGGACCATGTAAAGTGTAAACCCTGGACAATATGAACACTGGCCAATTCAAGGCACTGGCCATTTCGAGCACTGGACACATCGTACCCTGGACATTATGAACCCTGGCCTAAATAATACGCACCCGTTTTCGTTAGCCTTGCTGCCGGCCGCCGCCGAGTTTCATTTCATTCTGAGGAGCCCGCAGGGACCTGACGAGCGGGCAGGTTTGTGAGCTGGACGTTTTGGGAAGAAAAGCATGAGGAGAGAAGTGCCACAGGATCAACCGGCTAGTTTGCTGAAAATCAGCGCTGAACTTTGGCCTTAAGCATATAAAAGAAGTGTCGCTGTTGTGGGCGCCAGTCCCTTAATTTTAGTGGATAACAGAACATTGCGATGACCATGAGGCATGAAATGTCTGTTTTTATGCAGGCTGATGTAGAAGTTAGCCATTTTAACCAAAAAATGCCCGATCACAGTAAAATGGAACCTCAGTCGCTCCTTGGCACAGTTGATAGCTGCTTTGCCCCTCCCTCACTAGTTGCCTATAAACATTAGGCGCTATTACAACAGCTTAAATAGTTAAACGACTTTCACAAATCCCTACTTCCGGTATAGCGCTGCTCATTTCATTCAATTCCAGTGTCCTGCCGTGCCGTGTCGTGTCTGTGTGGCTGTGTGGTGACTCGCTGCGACGGCCGGCGGCAGTGGCACCTTCCCTGGTGGTCTGACCTATAGTCTGTCGCCTCTCGGGGTGGACGGCAGTTGTCTGGACAAGGTCTGTTTGGTGATCCGACTGTCCCGGCCGCCGCAGACCCAGACAGACTGGCCAAGACAAACAAACCGGGCCTCCGCGCCGGGTCGCCGGGTCAGGCCACCGCCAGAACAGGGCGCCGATAAATGGGCGGATGTGATTGGACGTGTCGGTGGCTTGTTGCAAGATGTTAAAAGGATTTTTTTAAAGAATGTACGACATAAAGCTTGAATGAATCCAAATAATCGCCCGATATATTTTTGTTTCTGTTACAGTGGCTATGTTATAGGGGAAGGGGTCGCTGGCCTATTGTTTCGCAGCCGTTCAGCCCTGGTGAGCATACATAACTTGTAAAAATTGGGCGTTAGATCCTCATTTCATGTTGGTGTTAGATGCTAGATCCTCATCTGAAAAGCGTTGAAGTGGTATTGAAGACGCAAACTGTCGGAATGCGAATATACCATCGGAATACGGATTGCCTACTGTTTCATTGCATACTGATTCACGGATTACTGATCAAGTTTCAGCGAATCAAATGATTGGCTAGACATAAACACGACAAATAATCCGAGCCGAGATAAGGTTTTCGTCCAAATATCTCATTTTATGTATCCAATTCAGCCTTGTGTCTGTTGCTTTTCTCCTGTGTGCGTTCCTATTCTCCCCAAAATGAGTGTTTTTGTCATTTTTGATTTTTGATCACTACACAGGCTCGTTTTTTATGATGGCATGCTGCAGAGAAACGGCCTAACTAGAGATGTCAATCGGATACCAACTTTTTGGTATACCGATACCAAACCGATGCCAACTTGGTATTTGGTATTTCAATCGTAATGTGTTTGGTATTTTGTTGGTATAATAAATCCTCCCTAATGTATAAGAGGCTAAGAAATCGGTAAAAAGTTGGTATTTCCCTCATTTTCCTTAGTTGGTTTGGTTTCGGTATTTTCCCGTGGTTTTGGTTGGTATTTGGTTTGGTATCGGTATTCCGATTTTCCGTAATTGACATCACTACGGCCTACCTTTTATCGGTGCTGCACAAAGCAGATTGGATACAATACCTACTTTTCAAATAATACCACAGTAAGTATGGCCTGAGAAATAAATCCCAATTCTCCCGGCTCTTCCCTACGACTACAGTAAACCATAGCTTCAAAAATACAACTGACACCTGCTCCAAATATTTCCACCGATCGTAAAAAAATGTCCCGCCCATACCCAGTTCAAAGACATAGATACCTTTTTTACGGGTGGCCCAGAAAAAACGTTCCCAACTTTAAATCAATATTTCTCAGAAAGTGATAAAGACACAACATTGAAACTTCGATAGTCAATGCGGCACACAATTTCAGTAAATGGTGTGATTTTCATGGTGTTCGGTAAATAACTTTTAAACGGTTCGTGTTTCAAGCATGCCATGTAAAAATTACTTTTTTGCTCCGATGTTTACTAAAAAATGTGAGTGAACGGGTCACTTTCACCCCGCGGCACCGCGGCCTATGAGCCATGACTTCTACTGGCAGCTAGTCTCATTGATGGTTCGGGTCTCAGGATAACACATTTCCTCAGGCAACCACGATGGCTCTGTGTCAGGGGCATCGAAAGAAGTTTCCAGTTTTCTAACCATCTTTGTGGCTCAAATGCTTTCCTGGCTGACATTCCCGGGAAAAGGTAGCTTTTCAACCAGTTTTTTGTTTTTGTCATCTGCTGGCAATGTTGTTTTTCATAAGCTATTCTGTGGTCTTCTGGCACAGGAACCAGTCTGCTTTAGTTTGTTTTCCTTATCCGGTCGATTTACTGTTTAATCTGCTGAAAGGAGGGTAATCAGCAGTAATCCATGCACCGTGCCACTCCTGCTCGAAACATGATTTGGTGTTGAAACGAATGACATCCATGAGCACCATTTTGGCTCAGTATTTGAATATTTGGCACATAAGTGAGACAAAAATATTTAAAATAAGAACATACGTGTTGGTTTCATTCACGTGCTCTATTTTTTTTTTAACATGGGATGTCTAACCTAATCATCACTATCGTCTGACATCGGCAAAAAAAGCAAAAACGTCTTGCTTAATTCAACTCAAGATTGCCAGCTTGAAAATGATGGTATAGTGTTATAATTTGGCATACCAATGCACAAAAAAATGACGCAAACTTGATAAAAATTTTGGCTCGTTATTTGTACTCGTATTTGATATATAGGCCTCCAAAGTTCGGAACGTTTTTTCTGGGCCACCCGGTATATGCTCATGCCTGAAACAGACTCTTTCCGCAGTCAGGAAATCGCATGCGAGAGCCTATTCAAATACATGGAAGCACGCTCGCATCAATCGCACGCACCTCCCGCAAGCGATTGATGCGAGAAGAATTATTATGTATTTGAATAGGCTCTTGCATGCGATTTCCTGAACGCGGAAAGAGTCTGTTTCAGCGTTCAGTGATGCCATATGCAGCTGTTCATGATGACCAAGGGTGGCACACGGGCCCGTGCCCCCTCCCCCCATTCAAATTGTCCTCAAATGGACCCATAATCGTTAAACCACCAACGACCGTCTAAAAATGAACTGAAATGATGATTTAAAAGACCGAAAAGGCCCATTTGGGGCCCCAGCAGACCCATATGACTCCATGTAGGGCAGCCTTTTCGGCTAGGCCCTGGGCCCTTCGGCGTTGGGGGAGGAAAGATTGCGGGTCGTGCCCAATCCATTCAAAAATCCTGTGTGGTGAATGTGCTAATAGTAGTGATCAGAAAATTATTTGTACCTCCTTTGTTTCAAATTCCTAAAAGCAACTGCTGTTTTTTTATCATTTATTAGTAATCAAAAAGCACTCACGCACACCAAGTTTTGTTAGCGATTAAACAGATGACAGTGATAGCTACTTTTGACATTATTAGGTCACATATGGGCCTTTGGAGCTTTAAATATGAACACCTACAAAGCTCCAGCGCCAGTTCGTGCCATGCTGCAGCAATGAACTTCATGCAACAACAAAAAAATTACTACAACGTCTCTAAAAGCACCTGACAGAGCGTACGAGAAACAATAATTGCCAGACATTCAAATGATGCACCGAGTAATGTAATCATTGTGTACCCAAGGACAACGCTCATTACGAGACGCACCCGAGCTCATCCCTGCCATCCCGACAGTTCATGAATCCATCGCATACCGCAAACGACGACAGACAAATACCATCTCCGCAAGAGAAGAGGCCTGGACAATCGCAGTCAGACAGCTCACAAGATGCCTCATCCTCGCCTCCGGCACAATCGCGTCGGCCATCGCACTTTTGCCGAATATCGAGACAGGTACCCTCAGCGCATCTGAACTGACCGAGCCTACATTGTCCAGGGCATTCGCTTTCATCAGATCCATCTTGGCAGTCGCGACGACCATCGCATCTCTGGTTGATGTTCAAGCAGCCACTATCATCTCGGCACCTGAATTGGCCAAGGCGGCATTGTCTGGAACATTCGCTTTCATCAGATCCATCTCGGCAGTCGCGGCGACCATCGCATTTCTGGTTGATGTTCAAGCAACCGCTATCATCTCGGCATCTGAATTGGCCAAGGCGGCATTGTCTGGAACATTCGCTTTCATCAGATCCATCTCGGCAGTCGCGACGACCATCGCATCTTTGGTTGATGTTCAAGCAACCGCTATCATCTCGGCATCTGAATTGGCCAAGGAGACACTGCCTGGAACATTCGCTTTCATCAGATCCATCTCGGCAGTCGCGGCGACCATCGCATCTTTGGTTGATGTTCAAGCAGCCGCTATCATCTCGGCATCTGAATTGGCCAAGGCGGCATTCCCTGGAACATTCACTCTCGTCAGACCCGTCTCGGCAGTCGCGACGACCATCGCATCTCTGGTTGATGTTCAGGCAGCCGCTATCATCTCGGCATCTGAATTGACCAAGGCGGCATTCCCTGGAACATTCACTCTCGTCAGACCCGTCTCGGCAGTCGCGACGACCATCGCATCTCTGGTTGATGTTCAGGCAGCCGCTATCATCTCGGCATCTGAATTGACCAATGCGGCATTCCCTGGAACATTCACTCTCGTCAGACCCGTCTCGGCAGTCGCGACGACCATCGCATCTCTGGTTGATGTTCAGGCAGCCGCTATCATCTCGGCATCTGAATTGACCAAGGCGGCATTCCCTGGAACATTCACTCTCGTCAGACCCGTCTCGGCAGTCGCGACGACCATCGCATCTCTGGTTGATGTTCAGGCAGCCGCTATCATCTCGGCATCTGAATTGGCCAAGGCGACATTGCCTAGAACATTCGCTTTCATCAGATCCATCTCGGCAGTCGCGGCGACCATCGCATCTTTGGTTGATGTTCAAGCAGCCGCTATCATCCCGGCATCTGAATTGGCCAAGGCGACATTGCCTAGAACATTCGCTTTCATCAGATCCATCTCGGCAGTCGCGGCGACCGTCGCATCTCTGGTTGATGTTCAAACAGCCACTATTATCGCTGCATCTGAATTGGCCAAGACGACAGTTTCCCCCCGGGTTGCAATCAGCTTCATCAGAACCATCTCTGCAGTCCCTTCTGCCATCGCACCGGCGGCGGTAGTCAAAGCACCGACCGTCGCAGCTAAACTCTCCGGATCCACATTGCTGTTGACAATCACGCTCATCTTCTCCCCTCGAACAGTCGCTGTAACCGTCACACTTTCGGCGAATGTCGAGACACTGGCCATCAGAGCATCGGAACTGTCCAGGAAGGCAGGTGGTGGGGATTGGGTCGGTACAACCGATTTCATCCGAACCATCTCTGCAGTCTGGTCGGTAGTCGCATCTCTGACGAATGTTTAGACACCTGCTGCCATCTGTGCATCTGAATTGTCCTGGAAGGCAGACGTTTGGGTTGGGACTGTTGCAATCCCTCTCATCCGAACCATCTCTGCAGTCTCGTTGGTTGTCGCATCTCTGACGAATGTTTAGACACCTGCTGCCATCTGTGCATCTGAATTGTCCTGGAAGGCAGACGTTTGGGTTGGGACTGTTGCAATCCCTCTCATCCGAGCCGTCTCTGCAATCTTGTCGATTATCACACCTCTGTCGTGGGTCGAGACAGGCGCTATTATCCGAACACCGGAACTGACCCGGGAGGCAAGGAGCAGGAGAACAGCCTTGCTCATCTAAACCATCACGACAATCACGTCTGCCGTCGCACTTCTGTCGGATGTTCAAACACTGGCCGTCAGAACAGCGGAACTGACCAAGCAGGCAAGTGCCTGGGACGGTGCAGTCTGCTTCGTCCGAACCGTCCCGGCAGTCCCACCTTCCGTCACATTTCTGATTGATATTCAGACATTGTCCATCGGAACAGCGGAACTGACCTAGCAGACAGCGGTCTGGACCCGAACATGACGCCTCATCTGAGCCATCTCTGCAGTCCCACCTGCCGTCACACTTCTGTCGAATGTTCAGACACTGACCATCGGTACAGCGGAACTGACCAACAAGACAGCGATCTGGCGAGGGATTGCCACAACCTTCCTCATCAGAGTTGTCTCTACAGTCTCTCCTGCCGTCGCACCTCTGGCGAATGTTCAGACATCCAGTGCCGTCGGAGCAGCGAAACTGGCCTGGGAGACATGTGGTGGGATTGTTGCAGTTGGCCTCATCAGATGCGTCCGTGCAGTCACGCCTTCCATCGCATCTGCGACGGATGTCCACGCACTGTCCGTCACCGCATCGGTGCTGGCCGAGCGCACAGCCACTGTGACCGCTGCCGCCGCCTCCATGACACTCCTCCTCGTCAGACCCGTCCCTGCAGTCTCGCCGACCGTCGCATTTCTGCCGCACGTCCAGACACTGGCCGTCGCCGCAGCGGTGCTGGCCCAGAAGACACCGCTCCTCGCCGTAGCAGCCCTCCTCGTCCGACCCGTCGATGCAGTCGCTCCTGCCGTCGCACTTTTGCAGAAGGTTCAGACACTGCCCATTTCTGCAGCGGAACTGGCCGAGCGCACAGCCGCTGTGGCCGGAGCCGCCGCCACCGTGGCACTCCTCCTCGTCCGAGTGGTCCGGGCAGTGGACGGTGCCGTCACAGCGCTGCGACAGGTCGATGCAGGTGCCGTTACTGCACTGGAAATGTACACGTTCGTCGCACGGTGGGCAGTTGATCTCGTCCGAGCCGTCTACGCAGTCGCGGTAGCCGTTGCAGAGGCCTCGGCGGTCAATGCACTCACCGTTGGAGCAGGTGAAGTAGATGGTCTGATCGCAAGCGTCTCCACCGCCACCCGACGAACACCCGTCCTCGTCAGAGCGGTCTAGGCAGTGCGGGAAACCGTCACAGCGCAGATTGCGCTCGATGCACTGACCGTTGCCGCACTGGAAGTAGTAAGCTGGTGGACAGCCGCCCTGACGCTTTACACCACGCTCCACAGAGCCCAGGGTCGGCACTGCGGTGGCATCGCTGTCAGTGGTAGACGGAGATGTGTCCGGAGTCTCTGGTGGCAGTGCAGTCAGCACCGGACTCCTCTCGGTTTCACGCTCAGTTGCAGGCTCGGTGACCTCCACGGGAATTTCCTCGGTGACCTCCTCAGTAGTCACAACCGGAGCAGGGACTGCCTCTGGAGTTGCTTCGGGGACCTCTTCTTCTTCTTCTTCTTCAGGAGCCTCTGTTGGGACTGCCTCCGTCACCTTTTCCGTAGGTTCATCAAGGACTTCGTCATCTTCATCTTCATAGTAGTTGTAGTTATAGTCGTCATCGTCGTCGCCGCCGCCCCATCCCCATCCCCAGGAGCTATCAGCGGACTCGGTGGTAGTGTCGTCGGCGGCATCCGCGATGGCGACACCTTGCGCGGCAGTACAGAAGAGTGCCAGCAGCACCAGCGAGGCGTACCAGTGCCTCATCGCTGCCACTGTGCGCACGGCACCAGGCGCACCAGCCGACTCTACCTAGCAGGCCGTCTCTGGAGCACCGACTGAGCTGGCGTCCACCAGCCAGATCTCTTGTCGACTGTTTCGGCTCGGACGACATGAACCTCAAGACGCCACCTTGGCTAACAAACAGAGCAGAAATCAAATACACAATCTGTCTCCGACAGCTCGGTGGCCGTCCTCGATCGAGGGACCACCCGCGGCTCCGGCGCCGCCTCCGCGCGCTGCTTCCGCCCACCGTTCACGCCTCCGCAGGCACCCGCGGACCTTCTCTGGACTCTGTCACGTTCATGTCAGCGGCGCGCCAGCCTCCAATCGTGAACCATAACATAACCATGGCACAGGTCAACGTTCATACATCTGAATCACTTGCCGCTATGTAAACACTGACAGCAAACGCCTACAGACAATGCATCATAGATTTAGTGCTGCTGTTAAACAGAATAGTTCAAGTTCGATGCGTCTTGACGAGAGGAACACGATACCGGTAGAAGTAACCTCGTGCAAGGCTTATGTCAAACGTTATTGCAGAAAACCGTTTCCGAAAAAATGGGTTATTTTGGCAGATTTTGCCCCCTGCAGACATAACGGTTGACGTTAGGTCAAATCTGAGAGAATTATTCAGAAAGGACGTTAACCCGCGCCCTGGTGGGGTCTGTTTATAACGCGACCTGGTGGGGGGGGGGGCTATTTTTTGCCCCCCCCCCCTCGTATCTCCGAAACTACTGGACGGATCCGCAAAATTCAAACGGCGTGCGAAAAGCTTGTCAAATTTGTCGAGGGAAACCAAATTTCATTGACCTCGGGGTCACCGATGACGTCACAGGTCAGGTCAAAGATGAAATGTTTCACCGTTCACGGGTCTTCTAGGGAATGCGCTATTACACCGAGGAAAACGTATTTTGTCGAGAATCAGCGATAGGGCGTCAGTTGCCTAGTAGATATGTTGCTATTAGAGGTCACTGACAATACCAGGTCACGTCACAGGTCAGGTCACCAAGGGTCACAGGTCAGGTCACATGAGCCCAACTTTACTAAGGTTGTGTTATGCATGTTTTATGACCAATTTTTTATTTCCAACTCAATGGTGTTGGCTATAAGACTATCAGGTACGGCTTAGGTCACTTTCTGGTGAAGTTAAGGTCAAGGTCAGGTCAAGGTCAGGCCAAAAAAGGTCAAATTTTAAAGTTGATAGTTTTGCATAAAATGGGTATTGATTCGATGCAGCTCGTCACGGGGAGTCTAATGGTGGTCTTTGTTTTGCGCTACGGGGTCTAGAATTGCTAAAAATTGAGTTTGAAAATTTGACGTCATCAATTTTGAACAGTTTTTTCGCTATAACTTCGCCAAAAAAAGAGGTATCAATCTCAAATTTGGTATGTGGATGGAAGGCGGTAAGGACTATCACATATATTCCGGTTTTTGCGAAGTTCAAAAAACTTTTTGGATTTTTCGATCATTATATCCAAAAAAATTATTTTTTGATTTTTGGGGGTCAAAGTCCAAAAATTTCAAAAATCCGAGAAGGCAGTTTTGTAGCCCTGACAATTCTACAGCTTTTATGTCTTTATCATTTTTCTGTATTTGCAAAGCTATGGGCCTGACAGCTCTTCCCGCGAAACCCTTTTTTGGGTCGAAAACGGCAGAACATGACGTCACTCTGACGTCATTTCCGGCTAACCTATCATAGTCTTTGGAAAAAATTTTTGGTCACCATGTGTAAAATTGATGTCCGGGAGGGTACTGAAAGTTTGGTGACGATCGGCGCAGCGGTTCTGGAGATATATCGGGATTAATAGGGCTATCGAATGCACTTTTTTGCGTCGCTGTAGCTCTACTGGTTCCCGAGTTATGCGTTGGCTTCTTGGGAACTGTCGACATTCGACCTGAAAATCGGCGAAATTGTGCCTTCCATGATATCTGGTGACCTGACCTTTGACCCTACCAAAAAATGATTGAAGTGATTTCGTCGTTATTTTTGACGCTCTTTCGTACCCCGCCTTTCGTTTATCGCTGCGTGGCCCGGGAGCCGAGTTAAAAGGTGGGAGGGCGGGGGATTCAAACACCCGCCTCCCCCAGCAGTGCGTGGAAATCCAGGACAGTTGTCAATCCAGTAGGGACAATCCAGTGGGGAGCGGGTTAAGCAGCTATCCACCAACAATCAACCATTCAATATCTGAACAATCTCTGTTTATAGGCAACGTCCACGTAGCGTAACAGGCATGGCTCTCATATGTAGTATCTGCTCATGAACCGGCCGTCACCTCAGGCTCTCTGATGACCTCCTTATGACCGCGCTGTGTAACCCCTGGCTGACATCGCTGACCCCTAGGGTCAGAATTTGTCAGTGATGCTTTATCCATACTCGTAATTATACGGGGTGTCGCCTCACTGGAGACTGTAAGATTATTTACGGTTGGCGAGGTAGGAGATGATGCCACATCGGCAACTGATCATCACATTGCGGCATTTTTTCTCCATTCCCGATCTAATGCTTCCAATCACACTCAGAGAGTCGAACTCGACACCATTTTAGCCTCGATATGAAGTGGGTGGCATGCAGCCCAAAGGCGGCTCTCGCGGAGCGTTTGGTGACGACGGTAAGACTCTCGCTCGAATTATTCGGCCAAACGCCTCTCAGTTTTTTTTTTCGAACGTCGCTGATCTAAACGGTGACGAGACGGGCGGCACCGAGACTGAGCGTCCCGGGCCGACGCGACAGCGCGGGCTCTCGATGAAGGCGTTTAACGGATCGGACGCCGGACACTGATCCGATTAGAGAGCTGACACGACTACACACACAGGCAGCCTGACGTCCCGAGACAAGTGGCTGACGCTTGTAGGGGAAGCTCCGATATTTCCCGCTGAGGACGAGATGGGCGTAGTATCGATTTATCCAATTACTTGGGTGCGGTTGGAACTTTGAACATTCAGTTCATTTATGTTTAATAGGATAATGCAGTTGTATTGCAATGCTTATCGATTTTTTTAGTGTGACCGCGTTGCCTCTATTTGCAGCACTGTGTGAGCAATGCATATACTTTCAAAAGTCTCGGGTCATTAGCGCTCGCAAGTGGCAGTGGCATTCATCGGCCTATTCTCGTGCAGTGCTTGACCTGTCGAATCAGATATCCGACGCGCTGTCTGGCGCAGATGTCTGCGTAGAGTAACGTAGACCCAGCATGGTATTGGCTGATAGACCATTTGATATATCATATACAAATCCGGAAAATGTCACTTTTTATGGATCATCCATGCATTGCTGTATTCTAATCAAGTACAACCCTCAGCAGACTGCGTGGTAGGTATTCTTTTTTCGACAAAATGACCGGTAATAACTCAGAGGCTATGCTATCAGTCGGTCAGAACTCACTGCAAATAGATGCGCCATGCTCCACTCCTTCGATTAGGTGTATCACTAAACAAAGTATACGCCTTGTGTGGCAACAAAATGCAAAAGTTTGTTTTGGGGGCAAATATAAACTTTTGGATTTTGTTGTCGAACTAGAAGGAAAATGAATACGGCGATGATGCCAATCTAAGGTGCGGAGTCTCGCGTGTCTTCCTGTTACGATTTGCGAATGACCGATAGCATAGTATGCGCATTATTCTCGTTTTTGTCGAAAAAAGAATATCTACCACGCAGTTTGCAGAGGGCTGTACATACGTATGTTATTATCTAAGCATCAAACCTACTCTGGGACCCATTGCTGCACGCTGCTTTTGCTGCCGGCAGCAATCAGCTGATTAGTTAATGACTTCTGATCGTCAGCAGCAGCGTCACTTGCCCGTGTGACGCCCGGTGGCATCACGTGACGGGGCACCGCTGATACCACCTGCAACGAGTGTAAAGGCAGTCAGCCCACAGCCACATATCCTGCATGCCTGGGCTGGTCTTCCTCGCGTGGCCCAACCAAGCTAGTGAGCCATGAACCACATTCGTGGTTCATGGCATCCTTCATCGTCCGCTACCGTGACTTAATGCCATTCTTACGCCTGAAATGACCATGTCCAATCAAGCAATTTCAGTGGTAATTTAACCCGAGGTCAATTGAGGTCGGGCAGCATGGTGTGAGAAAATTACCCCTACTGACAGCTTAGAACAAAGAACGTCGCGGTCGGGTCACAGCCTGACACAGTAGCGGTGCTAGTGTCACCAAGACGCCGTTAATCGCCGCGTGGGACTCGGCCATTGGGACAGCGGCACCCAAGAAAGTCGTCCGTCGCGTGACTAAGAGCGGTGCCATTTCTCGGCCCACGGCGCGACTGACAGGGTGATGTGTCGCCACAGCTCCGGGTCGGCGCAGACAGAGCAACAAACATACGTCTGGGCCGTGTTGACGCTGTGTCCGCCGGGTCCATAGGGTGACCCGAGCTGACCTCCTTGCCACTCACCGCAGGCTTCTGGGAGATCCGGCCGCGCAGGCGGGCTAAGGATGGTGGGTGTCATGCAGTGGCTTCCAGCTAAGGAAAGAACATCAAACACCAGTGGCCGTGGAATTTGCGCCACCTTCATAAACAGAGCTGTACAAACACCTGGGCTTATGTTCGAGCGGGGTAGACGCATCCGGGGGTTGACAAAATCCTGCGACCACCATGACCGATGGTGACACTTCATAAAAACAACATGGTGAGTAGCCCCGTCCTTTCGAGATCCTGTGCAATGTGCATGCTGGCGCCGGCGGAAGTCAATCCGCGTGACATAAGGGTGTGACGGTCTCAGGTCACACTGTGACCTGAGCGTTACCTCGGATCACGACCTCGTCGCGTCTGTCCACTGCGCCGTGGCAGACTGCCAGCGGCACCGACTGACCTCGGTTGACCTTTCTGCTGCCGGTGCAGCTTCTGGTGGCCAGCCAGGCCGGCGGTTCCGCGCGAGCCGAGATTAGACAGGCATGCCGAATGAGGGGAATGCGGAGTATCTCGCCCTCAGTGCGGCATTTCTGCCGCGCGCCGGGCGGTGGCCGCGCCGTGCTACTGTCGCCGCCGCGGTGCTCTCGTCAAACTCGAGGTTGCTGTCAGCGGTCGACTTCTCTGAAGATATCCGTCTGTCGAGTGTCGGTTATGTTAGAATGAGCTTAGTTAACTTTAGTTAACTTTTAAAACGGCTGCTCCAGAACACTATGAGGTTATGAGTGGTCGCCCGCCAAGCATTTGACTGCTAGGAACTTTGATGATTATTTTCTTTCGGCAGTGCCCACGAGCAGCTTATCGACATAACAAATAGCTACGCT